ACACACACACACACACACACACACACACACACACACACACACACACGGACTGCCATTTACAAATCATGGGGCCTGAACTCTGGGCTTAGGCGTTGTCCCTGAGCTCTTCAGCTCAAGGCTAGCACTCTACCACTTGAGCCACAGCGCCATTTCCAGCTTTTTCTGCTTATGTGTGCTGAGGAATTGAACTCAGGGCCTCATGCATGCAAGGTAAGCACTCTACCACTGAGCCACCTTCCCAGCCCCCCAAATATTTTAAAACATATGTGCTATTTGGGTAAATGTTTCAGGTTTCCATTTACCAAATGAAGTTAAATGAAGTTGGCCTTCTCTCTGCAATACTAAGTCTTGGGGTCCTTGATCAATTGATGAACATTTTGTTCCAATTTATTTTTCAGACATGAAAATGATCACAGAATAATAGTACAAGATATAGACATGTGTGATTCACAGTAGAGGTTAAAATTATGCTATTTCTAATGTTTTTCTCAAAGAGGTAATATTTGATATTTACATTGTATATAGAACACGATTAGGGTTTTTGGCAAACAGTCTACGGTGACTCTAAGTTTTAATCTTAATCATTACATTATATCTGATTCCTGTTCTACAAGTTGCTCACTTACTCATTTGTATTTTCGTCCAAAAGATTAATAACTACACCTCCAGCTGGGTATTGTTCTACCCCAAAATAACTGTAGTTTTTGTAAATCTAGAAATTATCTCCTCAAAATCTTAAGAAACATACATTATGAGCCAAGCTCAACTGAGAAGCAATGAATGCCATTTCACTTTTATTTCTTTCTTCCACTTCTGTTTTACAACTATTTTCCACATACCAATAGCAGCTAAACTATACTCAAATGTTACCAAAGTCTCTGATGTAGAATTATGTCACTAGAATAGCCGGAACACTATATATACATATATAATAAATGTATTGTCAAAGTACCAAAACACAGGAGTATCCCAGCACAAACACACAAACACTGTCTGACTCTCTCACACACACACCACTTACATGTTCACAGTAAGTAAACCTTCACAAAAGATGGAGGGATGACTCATATATGGTGTTTTAATTGGAATGTATTTTTAAAAAACAAACTATTTCAAGCAAATCTCCTTGAAAATTCCTTCCCAAATTTTCCAAAAATTTATTCAAAGATTATGCCTAGTTCCTGTGTTCCTGTCTCTGCCTCATCCATTTCCCTGCTCCACTAGAGCAGCATGGCTGAGCACGCAGGTGCAGGGCCCCAGAAGTTGGTGGCTTAATTCCTCAGGGGGCTCTGGGAAAGTGCTACTCACTAGGAAGCATGGAGGCTCTGAAGGCCCACTAATTCTATTTTTCCTCACTCAAAGGAGCCTCAGCAGGCTTTTTAAGATAAGCTCAGATGCTGGCAGTCAAAGAGGTAAAGAAAGTCCCAGAAATTCTGTCAGTGACCCAGGTTAAAAATCTACCCCAGAATGCGGATCAACTCACAGCCTTTCTCAGCACTAGCTGGAAGACTGCCAGCACTGCTAGTCCAGGAACCACATTGCCTGGAGGCTTGGACCTATTCCAGCTCAATCAGGTCTCAAATAACTTCTGAAAGAAAAAATTGATTGCATCTAAACCAGTCATTAAGCTTGAGACCATAAGTATCAAGACAGGTCTGTGGCTATCGGTAGACAGCCATTTTGTGAGTTCTAAGCTTAATGAAATTTAAAATTCAAGTAAAAATTTATTGAACACAGGTTGCAAATTAGAAATTTCAGCTCCATGTATTTAATTTGAAAACAAGGTAAAAAGTTGTGATGAGCTGATTTCATGTCATAACCTTTCCTATGCAGGTGTTTATACTTCAAATCTGCTATGTCAAAATGCACAGCCAGATAATGATTTAATATGCAGTCATTGAGACTTTATGGAGTCTGGAGATCTTTGGAACTTTAAGACAAGTACAAATGTTTCAGTTGGGAGATAACCAGAAAACAACTGCTACATAGAACTGTTCAATGGATCCTTTGGAAGAAGGCAGAGAGCTAGTCAGAAAGTCAGCACATGTATTGGCTGGCACTTGCTACAACAGCCAAGGGGAAAAGGAAGTGATCTGCAGGCAAAAGAGAAAAGCAGTAATGCAGAACCAGAGCGGGGGCCAGGGACAAGCAGACAGCAGACTCACTCAGTTCCTCACCTGAAAAAAAAGGCATAGTATCCATACTTACTTCACAGGCTTGTGGAGAAATTTAATGTATGAACAGAGGTAAACACTTGATAATATCTGGCAGATAGTTCAATGTTTGAAAAATGGTCATTAGTATTGTCATAGCCAAGCAACAGAATCTGAGGATTTATCTGCATGGCTAAACTTGGGTGGAGAGTGTTTCAAGTTGAGAAGACCAAGCACCACTAAACACACAGGTCAGAGTAAAATGGTAATGATAACAGAAAGAGAGCAACTTAATGAGAGTGGATTAGGTGACAGAAAGTACCAGAAGCCCATGCATGCATCAAAGGGCCTTGGTCTGCAAAGTAGGAAATACAAGTTTCTAAGACAACTAGAAAGAGAAATAATTCAACTAAAATGAAGAAGTCTTTTTGTTCTTTTATTTTCTTCTGTATTGGGTTTAGTGAACAGCAAAATAAATTACTGTGGAAGAAAACTGTTACAACAATTTCAAGTTATTTTGGGAAAAAGGGGTGGAGCAGATCAATACAGGGCTAAACTCACAAAGGGTTTAGAAGACAAAGGGAAGGCAGCATGAGTGTCTTTCAAATAGAGGTCTAGTCAGACCAGCCCATTTACATGGCTGCCTGGTCTAGTTGGTTCACCGCTCCCTGTGAAGCCCTCTATCTTCAACCTGAGATCAAACCCCAAGACAATCTTGTCAATGTACCCAGTAAATATAAAGGCAGGAAAATAGCCACTACCTGCCACTGGACACCCATACACATAATTAGCATTCACATGTTCTAGTTTGCATCATTAGGAGACAGGTGGTTGGCCAAATTTAAGAAAGTAAATGAAGATTCATAGAAAGCAGAACCAAAATTGTTACTTACCAAATATCTTCTGGCCAGCCATACTTTATCAGATCTTCGTCTACAGTGAGATACAAGAGAGCAAAGTCAGGGAAAGCTTTTGTGATCACAAGGTATTTTGTTCATAAATTTAAAACTATTTAAATAAAAATCTAAAGAAGAAAGGAGGGAGAGAGGGAAAGAGTGAGGGAGGAAAGGCAAGTCATCAGATGAAGATGGATTTATAAGTTGGAATCTCAGGAGGCTGAGATTTTAGGATCTTGGTTCAGAGCCAGCCCAGGCAGGAAAGTTTATGAGACTCTTATTTCCAATTAACCACCAGAAAACTGGAAGTGGCGCTGTGGCTCAAGTGGTAGAGTGCTAGCTTTGAATTGAAGAGCTGAGGGACTATGCCCAGGCCGAGTGTAAGCTCTAGGACCAACCAAAAAAAAAAAAGAATCGTAAACAGAATTTGTAAAATATTTATATGTTCTGTTTTAAAATGTAATGAAGGGCTGGGCATGGTGATATATTCCTCTAATTCCAGTACTAGCAAGGATAAGGAAGAGGGATTGTGAGTTCAAGGCTAGCCTGAGACACACACACACACACACACACATCAATGCACCCAAGAAAGTATAGTCTATATAACCTGAATGGGGTGTTTGCATACCAGTCTTGGGTAAAAGCAGTGTCAGCAGATGTAGACATGAATTTTCTGGGGGCTTTCAACTAGCTTGACTGGGAAGCTGAGCAAACAAGCAACACAACAGGTAACAGAAAAAGAAATGTCAAAACAGGAACATCTCAATGTGCAATGTGTGGCTCTCTGGTGACACCTACTGGCTATGAAAAGAACAGACTTGCTGGCTGTTGAGCTATGTGAATGGTTTCCTCTTAAAATGCATTTACATTCAATCCACTCTTGAAAGTCAGAACGATTTCTGATGCACAAGTGCTCCCAGCAAGAAGTTTGGAGACTGCAGGGCCCATTCCAACAGGGGGATAGGAAAGACAGACAGCTCAGATAACAATGGAGACTTCTAAAGTTAAGTTCTATACCCACCTACAATCATGACAGCAAAGTTTAGCCCTAGAGGTACCATGCAGACTTACCCCTGCTGACAACCCCATGGCCACATGTGTCTCCACAGTACCAATCCCCACAATTGCTGACCCAGCCCCGCATCTGGCAAAAGCCTCCTCAGCTCAGCGCCCTCATCAATTACCTCTTGACCCTCTCCTTCTACAGCGCCTATTAACTTAATCTTGTCCATACATTTTGCTTTTTTTCACGGAACACCATTTTAACATCAAAGAATGTCTTTGAGAGAACACAATGATTGAAATTTTGCCAACATTAAAAAAAAATGAACTATGCCTGTCACTTTAAGGAAAAATACTAATAGTACTGTTGGCCACAAGAAAAAAAAATCTCTGTAGTACAAACAAAATATTTATACATTTTAGAAGCAAAATTTTTTTGCTTCTAAAGTGTTAGGTTCACAATAAAATTGACACAAACTTCTTTTTGTATGAGTCAAACCTAAATACCCTGAAAGTCCAGAGAGCTCACAGCTGGCACACACTCCCACAAAGAGAAGCCAGGAAACAGCATACTATGCAGAAGGAAAAGAGGAATGGTAGGAATGTCACTCACACCATTGCTAGCCACCAGTGTAAACCAGAAACAGGCCAACCTTTCACTATAAGATGTAAAACCATATCCCCCAAGCTGCACAGTGTAAAATCTAAACAACTGTATGTGGCAGCGTGGCTGTAGGCACTTCTGTTGCTGAAGGCTCAGATCCCCACCCCTGATGTCGCAGGAGGAAGCATGGGGGGTCTTGCACTGTGCATACTGCAGCTGTGCACTGATTTCTAGTGCAGCTTATCCAGGACTCTTGCTGCAGTGGCTTACTGCTCTGTGGACCTCAGGGAGACAGCCGCTTCCTCCACATCAGGAGGATAACCAGAGAACAAGTGAACATTACCAGGAGAAACCTAAAATTCAAGCATTAATAAACCATGGAGTGTTTCACCATTAGGTGATACCAAAAGTCAATGTCATAAATTCTTTAGTCAGCCAGGTGCCCATGTCTCACACCTGTAATTCTGGCTGCTCAGGAGGCTGAGATCTAAGGATCAGTTTGAAGCCAGCCCATGCAGGAAAGGCCATAAGACACTATTTCCAATTAACTATCAGAAAACTGGAGCTGTGGCTCAAAGTGGTAGAACATTAGCTTTGAGCAAAAGGAGCTCAGGGACAGTGCTCGAGGCCCTGAGTTCAAGGCCCATGCCCAACCAAAAAAAAAAAAAAAAGAGAGAAAGAGAAAGAGAGACTGAGAGAGACAGCGAGAGAAAGAGAGAATCCTATACACTACTTACTGTTAAGACAGCTTGTATATTGTTTAGATGTGCTCTTGGAGTTACCAATAATTCCTTCTTTTACTCTCAAACATGTGACAATTTGACAATAAAGGTTTTGTTTTGTTTTTTTCTTTAATGAAAAAAAAAAAAAAAAACTCCGGAACTTGTGGAGGTTACCAGAGGCTGGGGAAGTATGGAGAGGGGATGGGAGAGGGTGGGCAATTAGGACAATTATAATAGTGCAGGAAAACTAAGTTCTGGTGTTCTACTGTACAGCAGAGTGAATACGCTTAACAATGTATAACTTGGGCTGGGAAAGTGGCTCAGTGGTAGAGCGCTTGCCGTGCATGCTTGAGGCCCTGGGTTTGATTCCTCAGCACCACACAAGCAGAAAAAAAAGCCAGAAGTGACGCTGTGGTTCAAGTGGTAGAGTGCTAGCCTTGAGCTGAAGAGCTGAGGGACAGCGCCCAAGCCCAGAGTTCAGACCCCACGACTGGACTCCCCCCCCCAAAAAATAATGTGTAACTCAAAACAGCTACAAGGGAGGATTTTTGAATGTTCTTACTACAAAACAATGATGTCTGAGATGGTAAACATGCCAGATACACATATCTGATCAATATACAATGTATGTATGTATTAAAACATATGTGCAGTTATTGGTCAAGTAAATTTTAAGAATTAAAAATTAAACTCACCCAACAATTGTGGGAGGCAGCACTTACCTGTTGGAAATCTCAAAATCAAATGCTTTTGAAAACTTACTTTCATATTTATCCTTTCCCATGTATATAGTGTAAGCAGATGAATTAACTAAGACAAAACAAAAAGAAAACAAAAGTTAACTTCATTACCAAAATATTGTTTCATGGGAAAAACAAGAAACAAACTATGGGATTTGAGATTGGCAAACCACAGCCTACCGGGCCAAACTCAGCCAAACACAACCTATTTCTGGACAGCTTTCAAGTCAAGAATAACTTCCTTTTTTTTTTTTTTTTTTTGGTGCTGGTACTGGGGTTTGGGGCCTGCTGTATTTGAGCTGTTTTGTTCAACGCTAATGTTCTACCACTTGAGCCACAGCACCATTTCCAGCATCTGGTGGTTAATTGGATTTGAGAATGAGAGTCTCAGGTCTTAGCTTCTTGAATAGCTAAGATTATAGGTATAAACCCTCAATACTTTTTACCTTTTACATTTTTTAAAGGCAGATAAAAGCGAAGATTAAGCCACACAGCCCATAGAGCCTAATCGTTCACTTCTAACCCCTACTCCAACCCCCAGAGAAGTTTCCCATTTGTTGCTAAATATGACTCCTCTCCTGTTTTTTCATGTCATTTGTGGGGCCTGAACTCTGGGTCTGGGCACTGTCCCTCAGCTCTTCAGTTCAAGGCTAGTGCTCTACCACTTGAACCACAGCCTCATGCATGCAAGGCAAGCACTCCACCACTGAGCCACCTTCCCAGTCCCTCCTCTCTGGCTTCCTTAGGATTCAGCCCATGGCAATTCTAGGTCAATCTACCTCTGCTTTCTTCAAGAGTTAAAAACAGACTACACCCTAACAGTTTAAAAGAGGTTCCTATGATTAGTCAACTTCTATTTTGCCTAATCTCATTAGTTGTTATCAGTTAATAGTTCAGTGTGCTTCACTTAATGGAAATCCTCTTCTACTTCCTAAACCTCACCTCCCAACTTCTTAAAAAAAAAAAAAAAGAAAGTCAGAACAACCTGATTGTGCCCAGCTCTACCATAGACAACTAATCTCAAAAGTCTAGGGTGAGGCAGAAAGCCTTTGGGTTTTCTCAAAGCTTTCTAGATGTTTCTAATGCAAAGTTAGGATTAGGAGTTTAAAGTGTAAATTAGGTGCTAGGTTGCCAAGCTAGTCTACCAAAAGTTGTTCTGCCCCAATGGAAACTAAACCTGTGAATGGGTCTTCAGTCTATAAAGCACAACCCCTGGTGGTGGTATAAAGTCTGCGCCACTCAACAGAACATACTAGTACATATGTGGTCCGAACACCAGAGAGCAGCATTTTCATATAAATGCTTAAATAAAGGCATGCTTGCACCTTCAGTAAAGAGAAACTTCTCTATTTCTCTATTCTCCTGGCCTTCTTTGGGGCGGGAGATTCTTGATTCCCTCAGGGTAAGACAATGACTGAAGTCCATAATTCCTTGGAAGTTGAGAGACCTAACTTGAAAGGAGATGTGGGTTGACTCATTGACAAGGATACTTAGCTTCAACACAGTTTCACAAGAAGGCTGAAAAGGCCGTTGAATAGTGAGAATGAATGCCAAAGGGTAGGAATAAAATAAGTGTTTCAGGTTCTGTAAGCACAGTCTAGTCCACTGTAAATTCTTCATGTGCACGTCTTTTTATATAATTCTATTATTAATTAATTACATCTATCAATCTCTAATTCTACTGCAATTCTACAATTTTGAAATGTTTTATTGAATATTCCCCCAAACAATGATGTTCATCTTACAACCTAAGGATCATTTACAAAGGGAAGGGGTGACATTGTCCAAAAAGAAATGTATTTTTTTGTGGGGGGGGTCTGGTCGTGGGGCCTGAACTCTGGGCCCGGGTGCTATCCCTCAATCTTCAGCTCAAGGCTAGCACTCTACCACTTGAGCCACAGCGCCATGTCTGGCTTTTTTTCTTTTTGCTTATGTGGTGCTGAGGAATCAAACCCAGGGCCTCATGCATGCAAGGCAAGCGCTCTACCACTGAGCCACCTTCCCAGCCCAAGAAATGTACTTTTTACCTGACTTATGTACCTGCAACCTGTCTATACATCACCTTTAAAATAAAAACATTTTTACAGAGGACTGTAAAACAGCTATAAATAACATACTACACACCCATTGTATGAAAAATGGCATTTTTGTGCATCTAAATATATTAAGATTCAGCTTATAACAACTGAATTAGTATGCCACGGTGTGCATGCACATTTACATGTTTATATGCACAACTTTGTTTGCATGTATGGGCATCAAGTTACATTAGGTCACTTGCTTATAAAGTACACAGAAAGGTTTGCAATTGGAGCAAAAGGGATTTAAAAAATAATTAAAATAGCTAGGATATGTCAGTGGCACCAGCCTGCCATTTTAGCTACTCATTGTGGTTCAAAGTCAGCCAGGGCAGAAAAGACTTCAAGACTCCAACTAACCAGTAAAATGCTAGACTGAATACATGTTTGTTTTTTGGTCAGTGGTGGGGCTTGAACTCTGGGTCTGGGTGCTGTCCCTCAGCTCTTCAGCTCAAGAGCCCTCTACCACTCGAGCCACAGTACCATGTCCGGCTTTTCGGCTTATGTGGTGCTTAGGAATCGAACCCAGGGCCTCATGCATGAGAGTCAAGCCCTCTACCACTGAGCTATCTTTCCAGCCTGAATACATGGTTTAAATGGTAGAACACCAGCAGTGAGCAAGAACGTTAAGCAAAATGCAAGGTCCCTGAGATCAAGCCCTAGTACTGCCATTAAGAATCAATCCATCAATTAATAAGGTACCAGTAACTCATGCCTGTAACTCAGGAGGCTGAGACCGGAGGACCAAGGTTGAAAACTAGCTCATGCAAAAAACCTCTGACTCCATGCACACGGAAGTGGCAGTCATAAAAACGGAATTCTGCTAGAACAGACAACAGGAGTCCCTGCCCCCGTGTGGCTGACACCAACTGCGGCCTCGAGGGCCCCTGGGGCGTCACAGGTGTGCACCTACACTACCTTGGCCTGGCGCTCGGTCAGGAAGGCTAGGCCAGAGCTAGGTCAGGGGGGAAAGGGTTAACGGGAAGGGGCTTCGGGACCGGCCGGCGTGGCCGCGTTTCCCGGTCATTCAAACGCAGCGCTGCTTGCCTGTCCCCCAGGCCGGTCGCTTTTCACTCCACCCGGCGAGCGGGTGTCCGGCGCGTGGCAGGGCAGGCGGGGCGGGCCTCCTCCGAGGCCGTGCCCGGGTGGCCCGCGTCTCAGCCGGGGAACACCGCGGGTGCAGCCGGAGGAGGCCGCGGGACCTGGGGGACCCTCCCTGAGGGGTGTGTGGGGGGGGAGGGTCTCGCAAATCAGGGGGTTCGGAGTTGATCCCGCGCCACAGCCCGCGCCGCCGGCGGCCGAGGGACCGACGCGCCGCAGGACGGACCGACCGGCGGCGGGAAGAGGGG